TTTATTTATTTATTTATTTATTTATTTATTTATTTATTATTGTTTGCAAGTTATTTGAGATCCAAGTGGTGTAAGTAGATGATCTAGACTTGTTGCATTCACAACTCCTGAAAAAGCTTCTCAAGCAATCAGTTGGCACCATAGGTGACACATCTGTTTCTAACATTTTATTAAGACATATTGATTGAGATTTTATCTATTTTTGTGTTTCAGCATTAAGAGATGAATGGAAAAATAATGATCAGTTAGTCGCTTTATGCCTCCCTTGCACAGAGAAAAGAAGAGAGAAGAGCAATGTTGCAGCTAAATTTATTATGAGAAACACTTCTCCTTTGTTATTGAAGGCAACTATGGGCTAAATACAAAAGTGTTTTGAGGCATTTTTTTGTCAATTAATGCTTCTTCTTTTTTGGATTTTTGATGGTTCATGTTAGGGGTGTTTGGTGCTTTCCTTCTAAACACTATAAGCACTTAAAAAATTGTTTCAGCACTTGCTTGTACACCAAAAGTGAGTGCTGAAAAATAAGCATAAGCTGTTTTATTTTGATATAGGGTGCCCGCCCCAACCTATTATTGGTGCTATTTAGCACTTAAAATGTGCTTTATTTCTTAGCCCATGTTTATCCTTTCATTAATTGGACTTCACACATATTAAATGAAATTAAGACATTAAGAATATATAGATCTATGGAAAAGAATAAAAATAAGTGGCCATTTGACGCAGAAGAATACTCTTACGAGTTTGGATCAATCTTTTACTTTTCATACTTGAATTTTCTTTGACCTGATTTTTATAGTCTATTAACTATATCAGGAACTTATTGGGCAAAACGTAAACTAACCGGAGGGCAAAATAGTCACCATTAGTGTGACTAGGGATGTCAACGAATCAAGTCGAGCCGATTCACGAGCCAAAAATTTTGGCTCAAGCTAGGATCGAGCTTTTCTAAGGCGGGCTTTTTTTGGGTTGAGCTGCTTGGCCGGAAAATTAAAACTCTATCCGAGCTTTCGGCTCGGACTTTATTGAGCTGAGCCGAGCCGAGCTCTGTTTTTGAATTTTTTTTATTTATTATTATTTATATATACCTCTTGCTGCCTGGTTGGCAGCTAATCAGCTGCCAACCAGTAGCAGGTTTGCTGCTGATTAAGGTAGCTTAGCTGTCAAACAAGCAGCATATTTATTATTATTATTTTATAATAATATCGGTCAGCCCAGCTTGAGCCAACTCTCAAAAACGAGGCTCGGCCTGAGCTTTGGCTCGATGCCTCCGAGCCTTGAGCCGAGCCGGCTCGAACTTTTTTCAAATCGAGCCACGAGCGGTCCAAACTAACAAGCCCAATTGCCATCCCTAAGTGTAACTATTCCTTTTTTATTATATTACATATATCTTAATGACCCGCAATAAATGAGTCACAAACATAAAGAGACATGGAAGTTCTTATGTAAAACATTTTCTTTATTTTTATTACCCTTTAAAGTCTTTGTTATGAATTTTGAAGGTAGATCTTCTAAGTATGCATCTTAAAATAGAAAAATTATTAATGTACAGAAATTGTATTATTTGGTCATTGACATGTGGAAGTGTAACGCTCTTGTTTGGTAATTGTTTTGTATCTAAGTTGAAGTCTTCTTGATTTCTTCGTGCTCTTCGAATGCTTCGTTGTTGTATTTCATGGGTAAATCATATGAAAATTTGCATCATCGAATTAAGTTCATTTTGCTAACCTAATCCAATGCACATGTCTCCCATCAATCCTTATCGTTCAACACACTAACATTACCTTAAAATAACATTGTTCGTGCATTGCACAGGCAGAAAACTAGAATATAAAAATGTATAAATATATATTTATTAGATGCCTATGTAAATTTCTTTCTTTCCTTTATTTGAAATTCTTTGTCGGAATAACAAGCATCTTGCATTTAAGAATATCAATGCACAGACAGAAAACTGTTACGTGCTTCGGATATGGATTGAGTAATAGGTCGATTGACGGATAAGGACCGATGATCGTTCTTGCATCGACAACCTATAATGGTGATATGGTTGGACACTTCGAGGGGTCCGAGGCCTCCTTGTATTGGTTAATTCGAGTAAACCAATAAAACTCCTAAATCAACACAAGGTTGAAGACAAATTCATTTTATGATTTTATTCACTTTTCTCTTGCTAATAAATAGCCATTACAAGATACCCCTTTATGGGAAAAGCAAATTATAAGAGCAAACATTATTGTAATAAAAGAGCAATATGGAAAAATAAATTATAAGACTAATCTTAATTGGAACTAAAAGAGAAATCAGGAAATTAGACAATTATCTTGGCCAAGATAATTGTCTAATTATCCGTTACAACTCCTTCCCCCTTGGAAATTTCCTTGTCCTCAAGGAAATAAGGAAATCGGTTATTGAAATCATCAAAGTCCTCCCAAGTGGCATCAGCTGGAGAAAGATTCTGCCAATGGATCAAAAATTCATATTTCCCTTTAACGTGCCGGGTTTCCAAAACTGCCTGAGGAAGTAGGTGTAGGGCAGATTCTTGTGGGATAGGTGGCAAGGAAGTTGCAACAATGTCATGATCCCCAATGCTTTTTTTTAGGAGTGAAACATGGAAGACCGGATGTATCTTGGATCCTAGTGGTAATTCCAATTTATAAGCCATGTTCCCAACTCTGGCCAGAATTTTGTATGGACCAAAGAACTTGGGGCTAAGCTTTAGGTTCTTCCGTTGAGCTAAGGACAATTGCCGATATGGTCTTAATTTTAGGTAGACAAATTCCCCCACTTAAAATTCCTTCTCTGAGTGTTTGACATCATAAAACTTCTTCATTCTTTCTTGTGCCAACTTGAGATTGTGCTTGATATCCCGAATAACCACATCACGTTCAAGAAGAAATCTTTCTACTGAAGCCACTCTTGCCGTACCATGGACATAACCAAGAAGAGTAGGTGGTTCCCGTCCATAAACTATTTCAAATGGAGTCTTTTTTTGTGGATGAATGGAAGCTTGTGTTGTAGGAATATTCTGCCTATGGCAGCCAAACCGCCCACTCCTTAGGCTTGTGGCTTGTAAAGCACCTTAAGTACATTTCCAACGTCTTGTTAACCACCTCCGTTTGGCCATCAGTTTGGGGATGGTATGCCGAGATAAATTGAATTTAATTCCATTTAAGAGAAATAGATTCCTCCAAAATGAACCAGTGAACATCAGATCTCTATCGCACACAATTGATTCAGGAAGACCATGAAGCTTGAAGACATGCTCAAAAAAAAATCTGAGCAATAGTGGTGGCCGAATATGGGTGTTTAATGGGAATAAAATGACTACATTTGGACAGTTGGTCCACAACCATGAAAATAGTTGAATATCCCTTGGAAATAGGCAAGCCATCAATGAAATCCATGGAGATATCTGTCCATATGTGTCGCGGAATAGGGAGGAGACTCAACATACCCGCTGGTTTGGCTTGGTCAACCTTGTTTTGTTGGCAAACAGCACATGTTTGAATGAACTCCCTAATTTGTTGTCTTATCCCTTTCCAATAAAAAACTGCCTTGATTCGGTGGAGTGTTTTGTGGAAACCCTCATGAGTGCTTGAATGAAATTCCTTAATAATAGGGATCAATAACAGCAATGAATGAAGGAGATAAATGCGATTTTTAAAGAAAATCAAACCTTCCTTGAAAAACCATGGACCAACCACCTATCCTTCCTTGATCTTCTTCACAAGATCTTGCAGTTGAGAAGAATCAGTAACCTCTTATTTAATGGAATCCGCCCAAGAAGGAATTGGTGAAGAGATGGCCATTATTTCATTTTTGAACTTCCTAGAGAGAGAATCAGCGGATGAATTTTCCTTCTCCTTTTTGTAATGAATTTCAAAATCAAACCCCAATAGTTTGACTAACCACTTTTGTTGAGCCACCGTAGTTATTGTTTGACCCAACAAATATTGCAAGCTCTTTTGGTCAGTGCGAACAATAAACTTGGCGCCTAAGAGATTGGGCCACCATTTTTGAACTGCATTGACTAATGCAAGCATCTCTTTCTCATAGGTAGATAGAGCTAGATTTTTTCCATGCAATGCGTGGCTAAAAAATGCAATTGGTCGTCCTTGTTGCATGAGCACTGCTCCCGAGCCAATTCCTGATGCATCGCACTTCACAATAAATTGTTGAGAAAAATCTGGTAATGCTAAAACAGGACCAGTTGACATGGCCTGTTTTAATTTCTCAAAAGCTCCATTAGCTGCTTCATTCCATTTAAAGGAATCCTTCTTCAACAATTCGGTTAAAGGTTGAGCAATCATCCCATAGTTGTGAATAAATTTCCTATAATAATCGGTAAGCCCCAAACATCCACGCAATGCCTTTAATGTGGTCGGTTTGGGCCATGAATTTATGGAGGTTATTTTTTCGGGATCCATGGCTACGCCTTGTATAGAGATTATATAGCCCAAATATGCAACCTCTTTTTGGCCAAATTGACATTTTTCCCGCTTAACAAAAAAATTGTTAGCCCTTAAATACACGCTCCACATGAATTAAATGCTCATCCCAAGACTTGCTAAAAATAAGGATATCATCGAAAAATACTAAAACGAATTTTCGAAAGAAATCCTTAAATACCTCATTCATGACGCTTTGAAACGTTGCCGGTGCATTCGTGAGACCAAATGGCATGACTAGAAATTCGCAGTGGCCTTCATGTGTGCGAAAAGCAGTTTTTTTTATGTCACCCGGGTGCATGCGGATTTGATGGTACCCCGACCGTAGATCCAATTTTGTAAAAAATTGGGCCCCATGTAATTCGTCCAAAAGCTCATCAATGACGGGAATTGGATAGCGATCCTTAATAGTGATGTTGTTGAGAGCCCAATAATCTACACAAAGCCTCCATGATTCATCATGTTTCTTAACCAATAAAACGGGTGAGGAATATGGACTTGTGCTAGGCCTCACCACACTGGTTGATAATAATCCTTGAACTATTTTTTCTATCTCATTTTTTTGATAATGCAGGTAACGGTACGGTCTCACCGAAATTGGATTAGACCCTTGTTCCAATGGAATTTTGTGATCTTGGATACATTGAGGTGGCAGTCTTTGAATCTCCATGAAAATATCCGAATAATGACTCAAAATGGCTAGCAATTCTAGATTTAATGTGCCCTGCGGATTCACTTGCTTTTCTCCAAGATTCAGGGAGTTTAATTGGAGCAAAAAAACATGACTTCCCTTCTTTAACTGCTGCCCAAAATTCTGTCCAGCTAGGATTTTGTTTGAAAGCCCTCTATGCCCACGTAACTCCACCAATCTGCCCTCCCTAAGAAATCTCATCCATGATTCCCTAAAGTCAAAAGTAACATCGCCTAGTGTGTCAAGCCATTGGATGCCAAAAATTGCATCACAACCTTCTACTGGTAGAAGGAAAACATCAACTTGGAAATCAATTTTTTGGACGATGAAACACGTGGATTCGCATAACCCTTCACTCTTCATTTTGTTGCCATTTACTACTTGTACTGAAAATTCCCCTGGTTTTGTAGCCTTGATTCCCACTTTAGAAGCCACCTTAGAATTAAGAAAATTATGGGTGCTATCAGAGTCTATCGAAATAGTAATTAGGATACCCCCAATCTTGCTAAGTAAACGTATGGTTCTTGGATTTGACGTTCCCGAAATAGCATGGAAGCTAATTTCAGGTATATTGGTTTCAAGCTCTTCTTCTGTAATTACTTCATCCTCGGATTCCTCCGAAGAAGGGAATATGCCTTTGATGAAAAATAATTTCTTACATCGATGTCCCGACAAGAATTTCTCGTCACAATTGAAATAAAGCCCACGAGATCTCTGGTCTTGTAATTCCGTTGGACTTAGTCTTTTTATGATGGGGTTGCCTGCCCGTGTGAGTGACGCTGAAGGTATAGGAGAAGGCCCGAGAGTCATGGGGGCCTTCCTAAACTCTGAAAGCCCACTTCTACATTGGTCAATAAGCCTTGACTCGTATAGGCATGCAAGCCCAATGGCGGCAGATAAGGATACTGGATTGCATGCTCGGTGTAATAATCGGTCAAACTCCATTTGGTAATCATGAACACTCCCTGTTTACTTAAGCTTCGTGAGATCTTCACAAAAATTATGGTACCGCGATGGTCCATAACAAAGATGGAGTTCATATTTGAAGACTTCCCAGTTCACGCCTTCTCGCCTCGCCTTAAAACTTTGGTACCATAGTTGGACATCCCCATCCAAATGATACCCCACCAATGGCAATTTATCCGCTTCCTTAGTTTGGTGAAAATCGTAAAATTGCTCCACACGACAAATCCACCCGGTCGGATAATCCACGCCATTATAGCATGGAAAATCTAACTTTGTTATTTTTTGTGCAGTGAATCCTCCACTCGCAGATCCTCGAGAGTTGATGTAAGAGGAACCTTCTCCATTCTCGTGTCCTTTGCCCGAACCTTCCTCCCGTTGATGGGAGAACATGGTGAACATGGATTCCACCGTTTTCTGGAGTGATTCCATCGATTGTTGTTACAAGCCTACTTCGCCCTCCAATTTATCAACACGGGGGTCAGACATGGCTGGCTCTGATACCAAGTTGTTACGTGCTTCGGATATGAATCGAGTAATAGGTCGATTGACGGATAAGGACTAAGGATTGTTCTTGCGTTGACGACCTATAATGGTGATATGGTTAGACACTTCGAGGGGTCCGAGGCCTCCTTGTATTGGTTAATTGGAGTAAATCAATAAAACTCCTAAATCAACACAAGGTTGAAGACAAATTCATTTTATGATTTTATTCACTTTTCTCTTGCTAATAAATAGCCATTACAAGATACCCCTTTATAGGAAAAGCAAATTACAAGAGCAAACATTATTATAATAAAAGAGCAATATGGAAAAATAAATTATAAGGCTAATCTTAATTGAAACTAAAAGAGAAATCAGAAAAATTAGGAAATTAGACAATTATCTTGGCCAAGATAATTGTCTAATTATCCGTTACAAAAACTAGTATATAAAAATGCATGATTATATATTTGTTAGATGTTATGTAAATTTCGTTCTTTCCTTTCTTTGAGATTCTTAGTCGGAATAACAAGCATCTTACATTTAAGAATATCACATGCTTTGCACTAAAGTCCATGTTCCAATTTGCAATTTAATTGTTTTAGTAAACTTGTCTATAGAAGAAAACATTAGTAATATATTATTTTTCATTCGGAAATTATTTAAGTTATCTTAGTAAGGATAGCTATTATTTCCACTAATAATACCATGACTTGCTCCTCCATTTTCATTCGAAAATGGAGAGCTATTATTTTTATTGCTTTACATAATATTTGGTAGGAAAGATGTTTAGTGATTGTAACAAATACCGAATGAACACATACCATATTTGTAACTAACAGAAATATTGAATTTGCACATACTGGATATGCAACGAATATAGGTACCGAATTTGCATATACTGGATATGCAACGAACATAAATACTGAATTTGGAATAGCTTACCGAATATTAGCCAAAATATAGTGGATTAAATAAATTTGTTAATTACAATAAAACAGAACATATTAATCTAGATTACAACAAAGTCAGTAATCAAAAAATCAAATGAAATTTGAAATCGAGGCCTATGTGAACATAGTTTCCTTAAAACAAATTCGCCTCCACACCATAGGTGCTTGATATTTAGTTTGAACGTCTGTCTCCCAAGGTACAATTGAGGAATAGTAGAATTTGAACCCTCAATTACTATTCAAATGAACAGAACTTGTGTCAGAACAATATCACCAGAACAAAAAAAAATTCGGATAGACAAGGAACTGTAAATCTTTGTAGTATGCAGACCAAAGGAAACTATGCAAAAATTGTATTGCTTCTTGTGTGAAATAATGGAAAAACGGCTTCTCATATATATAGACTTGACTCCCATGAATGGTGAGTTAATTCTGACCATAAGCATGCCATTAACTTTTATTATAATGACAATAACTATTGAGGTTTTAACAGTTTTGAAATTTAAAAGGTCAGTTGGAGGGAAAAAATTGGCAAAAGATAGGCCCTCCCAAGGGGCCATTTTCGGTCCCTTTGGATTGACATTCTTTTGCGTAGGTCGCACCCGCAACACAAGTTCAAGGTTCGAAACCTATTTGGTCCATCATTTACACACCACTGCATGCACATATGAAGAGAACCTCTATGCTAAACATGATCACACCCTTCCAAAATGCAATCCTATATAAGGTGGTATTTGCATTCATTATTTTCCTATATTGTACAAACCTTAATTGGTTTCTCTCCAACACATAGACTCCTTTCAATTGGCACAATTTGAGCTCTAATTTTTCATTCACTCGAACATTATTTTTGGCAAGTAAATATATGATTTCGATGTTCTCATGGAGAAGAACACAAATCAATCTTGATCTTTCAAAATAAACAAACAAGTTCTATTCAAATTTTATGTCAAAGTTAGCCACTCAACTCATTTTTCTAACAATTCCTCACATGAATGTAAATTGGGAGAGATACAAAATCGTGAAGCAAAAGACTTGGTGATAAAATTCAACAGTTAAAATCTACATAGAGTAGGTAAGTATTTCCTTTTAAACCTTTACTTGTGAAAGTATATTTACTTTACTAGCTGATTAGTAAACGTGTTATTTTTGAACTGTTCTACCATTTGTGTAAGTAATGATATACTCCACAGAGAATTCTTCCTAACACAATTTAGTTATCATTATTATGTTTGTTTTGCCATGAATATACGTTAGTTCTGTGAAAGTTCCTAAGAATTGAGCCCCACACAATTTTCTTAGAAGCGGCTTAACTTCTCTCTGACGAATGTTATTCCTTATTGCAAGTAACCAACATTAATTCGCTCGATTTTTGATGCATAAGAATCCTTAAAAGCCTATTGCTTATCCTTCATCCTTACGAGCATCGTTGTTGTATCATAGGATTGGACAAGAGGTAACATCCCCACAGTGATTTAATTAAATCTTTACAATTAGGTTGTCCCTTTGAATCTAGATCTTGGAATCTTTAGTCAACTAGGTTAGGTTTCCTTTGTGTTAACTTATCCGCTCAGGCTTTATTTCATTCATTTCGATGATTTTTCAACTAATTCTCTATTTAACCATTTGGTTAGAAGATCCGCAATGTTATCATTCGACCTTACATAGTCAATAGTGATAATGTTAGTTGAGGGTAGCTATCTTATGGTATTATGTCTACAACATATATGTCTAGACCTACTATTGTACACTCTATGCCCTTCCAATTGTTGATTGACTATCACAATATATACAAATTACTAGCACAGGCTTTGACCATCTTGAAATATCCTCTAAGAAGTTGCGCAACCACTCGATCTCTTCAAAACATTTATCTAGAGGTATAAACTCAAATTCCATAGTAGATATGGCTACAACGGTTTGTTTAGAGGATTTCCAGGATCTGGCTGCACCTCCCAACGGGAACACAAATCTACTAGTAGACTTGGAGTCTTTTATATCATATATCCAATTTGCATCACTATATCCTTCAATGACCACTAGATATCTAGTATAGTGCAGTCCAAAATTACGAGTATATCTTAGGTAACTCAGTACTCTTACTATTCATTTCCAGTGATCAGCTGTTGGATTACTTGTATGTCCACTCAGTTTGCTAATTGTATAGGCTATGTTTGATTTTCTACAACTCATCAAGTATAATAGACTTCCAATAATTTTTGAGTATTCTACTTAAGAGACACTTTCACCTTTATTTTTAGATAGACGTTGACTTGTATTTATCGGTGTCCTAACCAAGCCAATATCATCCTTACTAAACTTCTCTAGAATTTTATCCACGTAATGTGAATGATTTAGAACAAGCCCATCTGATATTCTTGAAATTTTGATACCAAGTATAACATCAGTTAAGTCCATATCTTTCATATCAAACCTCGAAAAGACAACATTTCAACACCATCTACAATTTTCAAAGCTCAATATGACGTTGCACCTCTAATATGATTTAACAAAAGACGCAAGTAATATAGTTTCCCTTCATTTGGACTTGCTGCAACTACTCTAACGATACAAACACCTTGTTTTCTAGGGCTCCAACATCTATGAGGTGAGTCCCAAACGAAAAATTCTGAAAATTGTTTATATAAAAGAGTTGTAGCCTTTTTGTCAACAAGATTCATGTGGTAAAATTTCGTTAACATGGTTTTTTGAAAATGTCTGTCCTTACAATTTTCTCAAGATTGTCAGAACTTTTGTATGTAATGAAATTATTTTTTTTTCAAGGTGTCATTGAAGAGTAACAACCGGAAGATTTATTTTTGAAAGAATGAAACCAAAAATTCTCCATAATGCTTCATGAGGAGAAATCCATCTTGATGTTTGGAAATTTTTAATCTCATCAACCACATTTTCTTTAGAATGTACTGAGAAACCAATTCTATCATGTCCCTTGTATACATATTTATACAAAATATTTCACAGCTTCAATGGTTAAACAAATTTCTACATTTATATAGCAATTAAATTTAGCCAAGAGATATGGATCGTAAGGCACAATCCATCTATTCTCTAACTATTGTCCTCTAACTCCTACTTTCCTACCATTATTTAAACGTCTATAATTTGGGTATGAAAATTCGCCTAACAATGTCAATGGGGCATAATCTTTTGGAAAATGACTTCTAGATTGTTTATTTCTATTCATGCATACGTTTGTTGGATTTAAAATGCCACAAGGTCCATGTATCATGTGAGCAACAACAACAGAGTATAAATGAGGGTAAATTTGTTTCTCTTGAATCTCAGCTCTGACAATTTTGTCTATAGATTCAGAAGCAATGATTTTTTATGAGCGTTCTAAAACGATTAAAAAATGAGCATGTGATAGAGTCGAAAATTTTATTTTTGAATATATCAGTTTTTAGTTCTTCTAACTTAGATCTAAAGATTCGAGTTAAAAGTTGAAAAAACATGATATAGTATAGGTCAAAATAATGCCCCTATTTGAGGCACATTATTTTCATAAGAATATTTTTTTAAATAGTG